ACTGGGAACTGGGAGTCTGTAAACAAAACCCAGCGAGCAGTTGGGGTGGGGTCCACACACCTGGGAGGGCGAGAAGGGCAAGGTCTTGACGGGGGTGCTCTTGGGGGTGAGGCTGTTGCAGGAGTCCAGGAAGGACAGATTGGCGCTGTTCTCTGTGACAGGGGACAGGGCGACACGCCTCTTCTTCTGCCGCTTGAGCACGGAAGGCGGGGTGCCAATGCCCAAGCCCCCCACTTCAGTGCTGGGGGAAATGGGGATCAGCTCTCCCCGGCTGCCCCGGCTCAAGTCTGAGATGGTGTGGCCGTCCAGGCGGTACTCGGTCACGCTGGGCCCCGGGGCAATAGACTGGCGAGGCGAAGGGGCTGGCCACTGCGATGCCTGTGGTTGCTCTGGGCTGCTGTGGATGCTGCCCTCTGGGGACGGCTCTTCCGGGAGGTCAAACTTACTCAGGTCACACCAACCATCGGGGTCCTGCCCAGAGAGGAGAGGTTAGTAATCACTGCAATTTGTCTGCTTTTCTTCCAGCAGATACGAGAGGCCTTACTCACTGAAGGAAAATACACGAGTGCCAAGTATGACCCCACAGCCCAGGAACAATCATCATTAACAATTTCTCCCATTTCCCCAAGGAAATAGAAATCTTCTACGCCTGCATATCTATGCTTGTGAATAAAACTGAAGGTATGTTGTGCATAAGGCTGCTGGCTGTTATTTAAAAAATGTTCCATGCACTATTTAAAATATAAAAAACACAAAGAAAAATACAAAGAAACCCAAATATCCATCAATAAGCTAAAGAAATAAAACCTTGCCCTAACTGGTTTGGCTCAGTGGATAGAGTGTCAGCCTGCGGACTGAAGGGTCCCGGGTTCGATTCCGGTCAAGGGCATATACCTTGGTTGTGGGCACATCCCCAGTAGGGAGTGTGCAGGAGGCAGCTGAATTGATGTTTCTCTCTCATCAATGCTTCTAACTCTCTATCCCTCTCCCTTTCTCTCTGTAAATAATCAATAAAATATGTTAAAAAAAAAAAAAAAAGAAAGAAAGAAAACCTTATCACTGAGACCCCATGTTCACCTGCCCGCTCACATCCTCTGCCTTCAGGTGGGAAACCACTACTGGAATTTAGAATTTACTGTCATCATGCATTTCTAGTATTTTGCATGTTTTTAATGTTAGTATAAATCACTTCTATATCCTGCTTTTTGTTCCATTTAAAATGTCTGTAAAGCAGAAATAATCATGCCTGATTCTATTACCTATGAGTTAAATGTTTACTATGAATAAATGGTGAAAAATTTCCAACTTTTATAATGATTTTTATGACTGCAAAGTACTCCATCACATGACTACATCAGTTATTTAACTGTTTTATGAACATCTTGTATATAAATCTTCTCCCGCATGTTTAGGTTTTCCGTCAATATAGATCACTACGTGGGGAAGTCATGGGCGCGAGGCTGAGGCCACATTCATGGGGAGGAGGCAGCTCCTGTGCTCCTCACGGTGCTCCCTCGCCCCTTCACAGAGGCTGTTTCCAATCCCACTGAGGAGCCGAGGCCAGAAAAGATGCATCTGCCCACCAGTGTCCAAGAGCAATCAATCCCGAGAGGCACACCCAGATCTTGTCCAGACTAAAGACTTGGACAGAAGCTTCCACTTTGGTCCCTGGAGGGTCTGCCCTGCGTGAACCTGGACCCCAGTGATGATTTCTGGTCCCCGAGACTCGCAGGAAGGTGGGCAGTTCATTCCTAGTGGTGGAGGCCAGCTCAGGGCAATCTGACTCGGGCCCACTTTCAGCACAAGCCTCACAGCTGGGGAGGCCCTAGAGTTGATGGCATCTAATAGAAGCACATCCTGCAAGGACTTCCTGCAGGGGAACAAGCGAGAGCCGTTTTCCTACAAATGTAGCTCCTTCCTCGGCTGCTGGGCCTGAACTCCGAGCCCGGCACTCACCTGCTGTGTGATGTCAGACTAGCCTCCTGACCTCTGAGCGTGGGATTCCCTTACTGGTGATGAGCCCACCACCCACTTCACAGGGCTGTTAGAGGACGAACAGAGAGCAGGTGTGTAGGTAGCCAGTAACAAGGCTGGCACATAGTAGGCACTCAAACATTAGATATGGTAATTACTAAGCATTGCTCCTCCCATACACTGGGTGCTCCCCTCCCTCCTTCTCTGTGCCCAGTAACTGGAGGAAGATGCAGAACAGGCTGAGGATGGAGATGGCAACACAACGAAGTGCCAACAGTGCCGGGCACAACTCTCATCTCAACAGTCCCCTTAGGGCCCAGAAGGACCGGGCCCACGTGGCAGCCTCGGAGCTGTGCGCTGCAGACTGAAGGACACTCAGGCCTGCTTCTCAAGATACTGTGAGAGAATTCCTTGGAGTGGAAGGGACACAACAGACAGACCCTGTAGCTGGGCCCAGTCCCAGCCACTGGGGCTAAAAGATGAGACTCCGAGTCAGAGGGTTTTAGAGATGGCTCCCTAGGAACCGTGCCACCCAACCACCATTAAGCAAGACACGGAGAGCACAGCACAATGGTCAACACCACCCAGCTGACTTGCTGTGTGACTCTGGGTACACAACTTGACCTCTCTGAGCCTCAGCCTCATCTACAAAACAGAGAAAGGACACACCTCACCGAATACTGGGTGGACTGCACATCAAGCTCAGAGGCTGGCATTTAATAGATGTTCAACAAATGTCTACACTGAACTGCCCCTGGAGTTCAGTATCAGTGTTAAATTCCTGAGTTAGATGTAACTGTACTGCGGTGATATAAGTGAATGCCTGTGCTCTTAGGAAACACACACTGAAATATTAATGGATAAAGAGGCACAATGTATGTAACTGGCCAGGCCTCTTGCCCATCACCTCCTGAAACCATTCCACCACACAGGCCTGGCTGATGCAGCTGAGAGCTGGGGATGTCACACCAAGAGGTGCATCCCCCACTGCAGAGCTCTCTTCCACAGGGCACAGTCCACAGCCAGCTCGGCCTTACAGCTGCAACACCTGAGTAATCAGAACCCACTCACTGCTCCAGCCCCACCAGTTCCCAGGTCCCTCTCCAGGGACTCCCAACCACCTGTGGTGCTGCAAACACCATGCTCAACTGTACTCTGTTATCGGCTCAAACACCCTCCCCCACTATCATCCCTCAGAACTCAGAGCGCAGCCTCCCTGGGGAGCCCTCCCACCCCACCCTGTGCTGTACATCATGAGTCAGGAGACTCCTGAGGGCAGGGACCATATGGCAGCTCAATGTCCCAGGCCCTGGCTGCAGGCTGGGCACTTAGCATCTGCCCAGTAAATGCTATTGGGATAATGAGTGAACACAAGGATGCCTGCCCGCCCATGAGAGGACTCCCTGCTGGAGGTGCTCTGGGCCCGCTGGGAAGTGCTGTGACCAACATTACCGACTCAATCAAGTCCAGGGCTTCCGAGAAGCTGGATCCCTCGGCCGGAATCAGGAGGTTGGCAGCCTCCACCACCCACTTATACGGCAGGCTGATTTCTGGCGATGAGCCCTCCTGGTCTTCACGCTTGGGGGTGTCGTCTAAGGGCTCTGGTGTGCACACTCGGTCCAGCTCTGCAGGGGCAGCTTCCTGCTCCTCAGCCGGGGCTGCTGCTGAGGTCTCCTCCTCACTGCTGTCCTCTTCCTTCATGGCAGGGAGCGCTGGGGACCAGCTGGTCCCAAGACTTCCCTGTTGGACACAGGGCACACCGTTTGTGGAGCTTTTGTTATGAGATAAAGATCATGCCATATTCCAGCTAAAAATTGCACAACCTGAGTCGAATAAGGAACCCAAATTGAGAGTCTCTAAAATATCAACATCATGAAAGACTGCAGTTAAAAGTGGGCAAAAAGAGATAGGACAACTAAATGCAATGTCTAATCCTGGATCAGGAACAGGAAAAAATGGAATATGGACTATAGATTAGATGGAAGTAAAAAAAAAAAAAAAAAAAAGTCCTAAATCAGTGTTAAATTCCCTGAATTAGACATTAACTGTGCTATGGTATATAAGTGAATGCTTGGGTTCTTAGGAAACACACACTGAAATCTTCATGGATAGAGAGGCACAATGTATGTAACTGACCTTCAAATGTCTCAGATAAAAAATAAAAATATGTGTAAGAAAGAACTGGCCAGTGTTAAAAACTAAAAATGAATCCAGTACAGGTCATGTGAGAGTTCTTTGTACTATTCTTGCAACTTTTCTGTATGCTTAATATTATTTCAAAATGAAAGTTTAAAAAATTTGTGTAGAGAGCATTTGAGATCTTGCTCCCTGGAATATGTCATCAATTTGGCTGAAATAAACTCATTAAAAAATGAAAAATGAGTGTATACTAATTTTGTGACAGGGAAAATAAAAATATGAACCCGGCAGACAGACCCCAGTGTAGGGGTCTGTGGTTAAGAGGCCACACTGAGAGCAAAGAGCAAGGTCCCATGTTAAGGGGGCACAATGGAGTCAAGGAGAGAACGCAAGCTCCGGAGTCACAGAACTTTGCCACTTACTAGCTGACCTTGAGCAAAGTGGAAAGAGAAACCTGTAAGATAGTGAGATACAACATAGCCTCATTTTTAACTTATTACCCTTAATAATAAGGGAGAATTTTGTAATTGCGAACACTGACCCGTGGGGAAAACAGGAGGTGCTCCCATCTACACATTAACAGGAAAAACTATTCTGGTAAGCAATCTAGCAAAATGTATTAAGAGGTTTTTTTAAGTGCTTGCTTTTGGAGCACATATGCTAAAATTGGAATGATACAGAGCATGACCCCTATGCAGGGAAGACATGGAAATTCATGAAGCATTCCATATCTTATAAAGAAAAAAAAATGTTTTTTAAGAATATGACTATCCAGTTCTAAGAATTTCTCAAGAAACAACTGAGCAAACAAGCAGTGATTTAGCTACAAGACTGACCCTTAAAAGTTTTGTTTCTAGTATCAAAAACATTAGATTTCACACAAAAGAAAAAACACACAAAAAAGCAGAACAATTTTTTAAGTAAAATTTTTAAAACTGGCCCTGACCGGTTTGGCTCGGTGGATAGAGCGTCGGCCTGTAGACTCAAGGGTCCCAGGTTCGATTCCAGTCAAGGGCATGTACCTTGGTTGCAGGCACATCCCCAGAGAGGGGTGTGCAGGAGGCAGCTGATTGATGTTTCTCTCTCATCGATGTTTCTAACTCTCTATCCTTCTCCCTTCCTCTCTGTAAAGAATCAATAAAATATATTAAAAAAACACACAAACAAACTGGATTTAACCTTAAATAACACACAGCCATTAAAACCGTTCAAGTTTTGTTTCTAATGACAATAAACTGAATATAACCTTAATTTAATGAAATAACCAGCACAACAGAACCATAAAAATGCTAGATGGCTGAACCAACTCATTGACTAAGGCCCTGGGCTCATCAGGCCCAGCAGCCGAAAGCCATGTAGGAGTTTCAGAGACTGAGGGGGGTCTGTCTACTCTGCTCTATCCTGAAAGACAACTTCGCTGTTTGCTAGTTGTTTGCTAGTTGACGATGACAGAAAGACCAGAAAGCAGTGAAGTGTGTTACCAACACCCAGGGCTGTCAAATCTTGACACTTCGACATTTGCTTCAAATCTTCATTTTTTAAGATTCATGAGATCTATTTTTAAAATATCAGTAAGTTCGCTCTGGGGTGTGGGGTTTCACTTTTACAATTGCAATGTAATACTAAACGATTCCATTTATATGCCTTTCTAGGAAACCATATAAAATTAAAATGACAGAGACAGAAACAGATGAAGGGTGCCAGGAGCTAAGGGTGGAGAAGGGCTGAAGGGGCCCCTAGGGAGCCTGGGGGCGATGGAAAGGTGCTGTGCCTTGACTGTGGTGGTGGATACATGACTGTATGTCTTTGTCATGACTCAGAACTGTATCCCTCAACACAATGAATGTTTGCTATATGTGAATTATACTTCAATAAACCGGAATTTTTAAAATTGCAAACATGCTTTTAGTATGAAAAAGCCAGAAAGAGAAACAGGTAGGAAGGAAGGTGTTGATAAGGACAGAGAACTCAATTTTATGTCAGCGTGCTCCGTCATGCTTCATCTGTGGGCAGACAAGTGCCAGGTATGTGCAGACGTGTGTGTGACAAGGAGAGGCACGCGGCCACACCGAGACCCTCAGCAGGAACTAATGAACGGCCATGGGCAAGGTGAAAAGGGCAGAGCAGGTGTTAAGTGACACGGTGATGGGTAACCCTGCAATCAATCCTACCAACCAACCTGGAGCCAGGCCCATGGCTGGGCAGCCCCGGGCAGCCGTCTCACCTGGCCTTCCGAGGGGTGGCCACTCTGGGGGCTCTCCTTGTCCTCGAGCTCCAGCAGCAGGTACACGGGGGGCTTGCAGTCTTTGGACTCGCTCAGGAAGCCTCCTGTGTCCACTTTCCTTTTGATGGTGGAATTCCAGTGATTCTTCACAGCATTGTCTGTCCTGCGGGGGCAAACGAGGGACCTTTGAACCCTGGGGCCTGTGTGCCACCAATCACGTCACTGACCTCCCTGAGCTGAGCTCCCACTTCTGTACATGAGGGTTCAACCTGAGGAACTCGAAGGTGTCTTTTAGTTCTTAGATGAAGTCACACATGTTTCTAGCACTTAACGATTCCCGGAGCATTTCCACTCACTCTGCTAAATCCTAGTACCCAGGAGTAGAGAAGTGCTCACACACAGTAGGCACTTCTTTCTTTGAGGCTCCAAGCAGAGTGCTTTGCCCTTGGATTGTGAACAGAGAACAACAGCTTGGCTGAGCAACCGGGCTAAGAGGAGGGTCTCTACCTCTGGTCACTCCCGCTGCAGACCATCAGGAAACAAACACACACACACACACACACACACACACACACACACACACACACACACACAGCATGTACCACGTCAGGGCCAGACTCTGAGTCCCCATCTTGCTGGGCCCCGGCCCTATTCTTCTCCACCCCTCCTCTCACAGGCAAGAGCCCCTTCCCTCCATAAACCCCCTGGACCTTTAACCTCTGCATCTCAGGTTCCTTCTAGGAAACCTGACCCAAACACCTCCCGGCACTCCCGCCCACAATGATCAGATCTGGGTGCTCCAAGCTACAATGCTCGTCATTCTTTTGCTCCCATATATTTATGGAGTGCCCATTGCGTGGCAAACACTGCTCTCCAGGCACTGGGGACACACCGGCAAGGAAGACGGGCGGCTACATTTAGAGACGGGCATCATGGTCTCATTACACTGGGGTACAAGCTGCTCCAAAGACAGGTGGGAGCACTGCGGCCAGGTCACCAGGGACCGACCAGAGGCTGGAAGGACAGAAAGCTTCTCTGAGGAAGTGACACTCCTACTGAAAACTGAAGGATGCGAACACACTGGGCAGAAGGCAGGGGTGCACAGGGGCAGCTCAGAGAAGAGCTCACTGTGTATAACGAAGAGAGGGACCAAGGCAGGGCTGGTGGCGTGAGCCGGGCCAACAGGCCACAGAGGGAAAGAAGCCGAGTGTTCAACCCCAGTGCTAGGAGAAGCTCCGAAAGGACAGCATGCTCGGGTTTGAGTTTGAAAACAGACCCATTTATACTTCAAGGGAAACACACCAGCTGACATTCTATCACCTCTACCTTTCAGGACCCCAGTGTCATGAGAAAAGAAGAATTAAAAATAAAGCAAAATAAGGTAAAAATGCACAAGGACAAAGAGAACAGGGCAGAAGACAATAGCAAACAATAGTTTTGTGGGTTTTTTTAAAAGGCTTTTTAAAAATATATATATTTTATTGATTTTTTACAGAGAGAAAGGGAGAGAGATAGAGAGTCAGAAACATGGATGAAAGAGAAACATCGATCAGCTGCCTCCTGCACACCCCCCACCGGGGATGTGCCCACAACCCAAGTACATGCCCTTGACCGGAATCGAACCCGGGACCCCTCAGTCCGCAGGCCGACGCTCCATCCACTGAGCCAAACCGGTTTCAGCGCAAACAATAGTTTTATGTTTCCAGAAATTGGAGAACACGCAGGGGAGCAATAAGCCACTTAGGAGCCTGGGAATTGATCCGGAGGAAGATTCTGGCAAGAATGGAGCCAAGTCTTCCTGATGCTCCTTGCGAACCCAAGAGGCTCAGGGCTTGGAAGGACCAGGCCCGGGGAGGAGCAGGGTGAAACAGAGCAGTGGTTTGGACGTCCAGATGCCGGCCTTGACCTCACAGGAGGAGGGAGTTTATTCTCGAGAAAAAGGCCAGTCTGAAGGACTCCTGCGTCTCTGGGCAAAGCGAACAACTCCAGAGAAGACTGGAGGACTATTCACCCACAAGGCTCTCGCCGACCTGGGAACCTCACCCTGCCTGTCACCACCGTTCCCAAACCCCGGACGTCGCTCACCTTCCCGGCAGCATCTTGGCGATCTCGGCCCAGCGGTTGCCCAGCACCTTGTGGGCCTCACAGATGATGCGGTCCTCCTCCTCGGTCCAGCAGGACTTTTTCACCTCGGGGTTGAGGTGGTTGTGCCAGCGCTCACGACACTGCTTTCCCAACCGGCCCTTCAGGTGCTTGGCAATCAGCGTCCACTGCTTCGTGCCGTACTTCTTAACCAGCTCGATGACCTTGGAAATAAGCCTGGTGAAGGCAGCAAACCTGCCCCCACTTCACACCAGCACCTTCTCTCCACGTGGGCCTCACCGCAGCCATGAGAGGTGCGAAAACTGACCAGGGGAGGACCCACACCCAACCTGCAGCCAGACGCAAGGGCAGACGCGTGCGCAGTCTCTTGACTCCCTGGGGTAAGTGAAGGCCCACTGTGTACAAGACACTGTCCCACTAGTTACCTTCTCGTCTTCCTCTTTGGTCCACGGCCCCTTGACAAGATCTGGATTCAAGACCCTCAGCCACCGGTACTGGCATTGCTGGTCAGTGCGATTCTGGGAGGACAGGAGTCATGAGAACTGGGGAGGCAGCCCTGCATCATGCTTGATCACTGGGCTCGGGGGACGATGGTCTGGCCAGGTGACTCAGATGGGTTTTGTCTTGTTCCTGGAACCACCATACGCATGGCCACATGGCAGAATACCCATGGTTTCTCTTTGCTACAAAGGACCAGGATGGAACTGGGCACACTAAGAGCCCTATGGAAAGCCAGCTTGCTTGCCTCTGGGACAGCGTTATTTCCCTGATCATGCTGTTTTAATCAGAGGGAGGTGAGGAATGGGGCAGGACAGACAGCAGCTCCAGCCATACACCTCTCCAAAGCAGACACCTGCAGTCCTGGGAGGGGGGATCTGCGGGACACCCCTTAAGGCAGCTCTCCCCGCGAAGCCTGCTGGAAGTACCATTTCCCCTCAGTTTCAGTCTCACTATTGAGAAACTGAGCACCAACACAGGAAGAAATGCAAATATGCCACTGATTACGTGCCACCGGTCAGGGCCTAAAGACCACAGGCATGCTGAGGCTGCTGCGTGGTGATGCTGAATCAGGGTGCCTGGAATTCCAGTTTGGGAAGCAAGGGCCTGGGGGTGGGGTGGGGTTTGGGAAGGAACTCCCTTTTCTTCTGCTCGGCAGCACGTCTGTCCCAGGAACGCTGTCTGGTCACTCAGAACCTGGCCCTGGGGCAGGAGGCCACAGAAGGGCTGCACTCACAGGAAAGTGGCTGGCCAGGAACTTCCAGTCTTGCTGTCCAAACTGCCTCACCAGGGTCCTCAACTGCTCATCCTGCCAACACCAGAGAGAGAGCTCAGCTCACATGGGTGCAGGAACAGCCTCATTCAGCCATTCAGCAAGACCTGCTCTGCTACAACTCACCTTGAGGGACTTACGGTCCAGAGGGAGACAGATGCCAATTCAAGTCTCCCACAGACAAAAGTAAAGCCACGATGCTGGGGGCATGGAGAGGTGTGTGGCAACTGCCTATTCAGGGAGGAAAAGGGACAGGCCCATTCCAAGAAGTCTAGTGTAGCTGGAATGCAGGGAACACAGGAGAGAAGATGCAAGCTGGTTTTGGAGGGGACGGCCGGGCCCAGACCACACGGGATTGATTCGGGGCTCCGCGTTATGTTACGCAAAGCCCCTGACGCATTTGAGCACTGGGTGGACCCAGTCCACATGCTTGTTGTGAGGGTCACTTGGGCGCTGCAGGGAAAGGGACTGCGAGAGGACAGGAAGGACAAAAGGAGGCCATTCCAGGCACTCAGGCCAGACATGATAGTGACACAGCTCTGAAGATGGGGAGACATGGGCAGAACACAGAGCAGTCAGAAGGCAAAACAGTGTCTGTCACAAATATTCTCCTGAAAATGAACTACTGATTCACACAACACAGAATCTCAATATCATCATGACAACGAAGCAAGACATAGCCCTGGCTGGGTTGCCCAGAGGTTTGGAGCATCCTCCGGTACACCAAAAGGTTGTGGGTTTGGATTCCCAGTCAGGCCACATACCTGGGTTTCAGGTTCGATCCCCTGTCAGGGTGAGTATGGAAGGCAATCAATGAATGTTTCTCTCTCTTTCTCTCTCTCTCTCTCTCTCTCTCTCTCTCTCTCTATCATATCAATGTTTCTGTTTCTCTCCCTCTCCTTTCCTCTCTCTCTAAAATCAGTAAGTGTAGCTTCAACTTAGGATTTAAAAAAGGAAAAAAAATAAAGCCAGCCATAAGAGTAAGCACTGTATGGCTCCATGCATATGAAATTCTAGAAACTATAAACTAAACCACAGGAACAAAAAGGCAGTCAGTGGTTGTCTGAGGTCAGGGGTGGAGGGAGGCAGGATGGGCAGCCAAGGGGAGCATGGAACGCTTGGGAGTAATGAAAATGTCCTATAAGGTGAAGGTGCTGAAAGATGCTCGTAATACTTTGGTAGAAACTCATCGAATTATTCTCTGAGTCACTGTAGTGGGTTGTACATAAAGTATTCCTCAAATTGATTTTTTTTTTAAATAATGCAGTAAGGCCTTTCCATTCTTTTCTTTTTTTTTTTTAAATATGTTTTTATTGATTTCAGAGAGAGGAAGGGAGAGGGAGAGTGAGAGAGAAACATCAATGATGAGAGAGAATCATCATCGGCTGCCTCCTGCACATCCCCCACTGGAGACTGAGCCCGCAACCAAGGCATGTGCCCTGACCAGGAATCCAATTGGTGACCTCTTGGTTCATGGGCCGATGTTCAACCACTGAGCCACACAGGCTGGGTTCAAGTTGATTTTTAAATTTAATATTTATATATAAAGTAAACGATTCAGTGGGTGGAGCCAGGGCTCCTTTGAACCCCAAACCCCTTTTCTGCGAATTCTTTTTTCTTTTTATTGACTTTTGCACTACTTCTTTATTTTTTTATTTTACAGAAAGAGAGAGAGAGGGAGAGGAAGCACTCCATTTGTGGACCTATAAATTCTGAGTGGTAATTCCACTTTTAAGCCAGAGGAGTGTTTGCTAAGACATTTAGAGTCTAGAGTCGATAACTTCCGAATGGAACATGCTGGCTCCGCACCCTCCTGCTCAGTGCTGCCGTGGCCCTCGAGTGGGGCCACCGGGGGCAGGGAGAGGAACACCCCCCACTGGAATGCACACGGACCCATTTTAGCATGAACAAACAAGAAGTGTGCAGAGCTTGAGAAAGTTGGTGGTAAGTATTTAAAACTGCTTCCAAAATGAGAGAAATCGATTTTACTTGAAGAAAACAAGCAAACAAAAACTACATATATAGTGCCATATCTATACAGTGGAATATTATTCAGCTTGAAACAAAAGGAAGTTTGGACATATGCTGCAGCATAGATAAGCCTCAAGGACATTACGCTAAGTGAAATAAGCCAGTCACAAAAGGGCAAATACTATGATGCCACGCATGAGGAATTAGTGTTTAAAAGGTATAGAGATTGTTTTGCAAGATGAGAAAGTTCTAGAGATTTGTTACACATGGGAATACACTCAACACTACTGAACTGTACACTTAAAAGTGGTAAATTTAATGTTATGTGTTCCCTCCCCTCCCCCGCTCTCTCCTGGACAGGAAAAAAGGCCACCACAGAAATCCAGACCCTCAGCTGCAGCTTGTGCAGTCTAACAGCACTGGACAAAGTCCCCATAAATCCTACAGCTGAGCCAGCTCACACCCAGCCATCCCCAGACTCCCTGGCTTCCTCTGCCGTCCAGCCTGGCCAGGCCCACACCTGCCTTCCTCCCATGTCCATCTCCAGCACCACTGTCCTCCCAGTAACTGACACAGACACTTCGCATTTCGCCTCCAACTCCTCCAGGACCCCAGGAACCTCCTCCACCTGCTAACTCCACCCTGGACCGCCCTAGTCTCTCCACGGCATCGTCTTACCTGCCCCATGCGGTGCCCTCCCCAGCTCCTGGCACTGCTGCTGGGACCCACACTGCCCCCAAATCTCTTATCCGCCTACGCACAGCAGGTCAGCGCCTCTGAAGCCCAGCTATGTTCATGTCACTCCTCTGCTTTAAAAGCCTCCAATGGCTCTGCACTGCCAGCTGAATAAGCCTATATTCGGAGCCTGGCAGTCGAGGCCCTCCAGAATTTAGCCCTCATCCAGCGGTTCTCAACCTGTGGGTCTCGACCCCTTTGGCAGTCAAATGACCCTTTCACAGGGGTCGCCTAAGACCATCCTGTATATCAGATATTTACATTACGATTCATAACAGTAGCAAAATTACAGTTATGAAGTAGCAACGAAAATAATTTTATGGTTGGGGGTCACCACATGAGGAACTGTATTTAAAGGGCCAGAAGGTTGAGAACCACTCCCCTAATCCATCTTTTCCAACCACTCTTCTTCCCTCCCCTTCAAGGATTCTTCCCTCCAGCCAACCGGGCTCCTCTACTGTCTTTTGTCCACCTACCACCCATTTCCTATTCCGACTTGCCCACGGTTTCACACACGTCCCTGACTGCTGGATTTCCAAATCCTTCTCCATGACACTTCCCCTAACCTCTTAAGACAACAGTAACCTCTCCTTCTAAAGGTATTTCAACAATTACCCCCCTGACTGCTGAATTTCCAAATCCTTATCCATGAAACTTCCCCTTATCTCTTCAGACAACATTAACTCTCCCCCTAAAGTATTTCAACAATTACTAGTGCCTCCAACATGCTAGGAGCCTTA